CAGCTCCATCTGAAGCTAACTGGCTTGCATGTGCGTGGCTGCCGTATACAGAGACATGATGAGACAGTGCACCCCAAGCCAACAGCTCTGGCCTCAGAAGTCATGGGCACAGGTTCCAGGCTAACCTGTCCCTAACTCCTGGCAGGTCACATCCTTTTTGGGGCCCTGGTTTTGTCCCCCATAAAACAAGAGGATTGGACGATGGTCTCTGAGCTCCCTGGCAACTAAAGGGCCCCTGAGTCTGGCCAGGTTCAGGTGCAGCTTTAGGGTCAGGCGTCATGACGAGGCCAGCGCCTGTCCCATTCTGCTGAAACTCTGAGCGGCATCTTCTGGTCCCCATGTGTCCCGAGGCCTTACCTCAGCGCTGGGAAGCCTGACAACCGATCTCTCCAACTCAAAAGATCACAGCAGGAGGAGGGAGCAAACCCAAATCCATCAAGAGATAAACCAATGGGAGAAAGTCTGATCTCTGGGGGGTGCTCCCCCAGGGGTCATTGTCGTGCTGCAGAAGCAACAGTTTCCACTGTGTCAACAGTGACCTGGGGGCCTCCCAAGCCCCGAGATAGAAAACAAGAGGGTGGTGAGCCTGTTGGTCCACTTGTCAGAGGCAGACATACATCTGAACCATCAGCAAGACTCATGTTTACCGAAGTCCCCGGATACCCATGAGGATCTAAGACGGACACCCTGGGAGCACGGTGGAGCCAGCTTCTGGGACCAGCCAATGACACTGGCCAGATGGCAGGACGCATAGCACCAGCCACAGCTGGACGCAGGCAGAGTCAGTCAGAACCTTGGCTCCACCACTAACTGGCCAGGTGAAAGACAAGATGCCTTGGTATTGCAGAGACAGGAGCAGAAACAGTCCCCGAGCCCCTCTGCAGTCGTTCACACGTGACCAAGCCTAGCACAGAGCTTAGACCAGGGGTCCTCAAACTACGGCCCGCGGGCCACATGCAAATACAAATACTGTATTTGTTCCCGTTTTGTTTTTTTTTTACTTCAAAATAAGATATGTGCGGTGTGCATAGGAATTTGTTCATAGTTTTTTTTAAACTATAGTCCGGCCCTCCAACAGTCTGAGGGACAGTGAACTGGCCCCCTGTTTAAAAAGTTTGAGGACCCCTGGCTTAGACCCACACACACCCAACCAGGTCTGCCCCACTGACGAGATGAACGACTTTCTGGAAAAGATAGGGTAGCGAGGCCCCTACTGGGGTGGGTGGGAGGAATCCGGGCTGGGTTCGGGCGGCAGGGACAGACTCGGGCTGCTGCGGGGAGGCTCCCCGGCTGTGTAGACAGAGCACAGTACACTTTATGACGTGTTTCCCCAGCCCCGTCACTCACTCCTGTAACGGGACCCCCGTGCAGGGGTGCTGCTCTCGGCCCAGGTCTCCTTCGTCTCCTTCGCCTCCTGTGCAGCAGGTGAGCAGTGGTGGGCAGGGCTGGGCCTGGGGGCCCAGAGCCTGGATCTTCTGAGTAACTGTTCGTTCTCTTTGGCTGGAGGGAACAGGGCAAGAGTCCAAAGTGAAAGCTCCCCGGGGCAGGCACCTCCCATTTCTGAGCACCCCGCTCCTTAGGGAAAACGATCAGAAGGGTCTTTTCACATCTCAGCCCCCTCCACTGTGACGCCCCTCCTCTCACTTGGAGAAAGAGCCGAAGTCCCAACCTTGAAGGCCCTCCATGGCCTCCCTCCTCCTTCCTCTCTGGCCTCCCCTCCTTCTCTCACGCTACCCCCTCCGTTTCAGCCACCCAGCCTCTGCTCCTGCTGTGATGTGTGAAATGCTCTCCTGTCTCAGGGCCTTTACAGGTGCGGGTCATTTCCTCGCTTCCCTCAAGTTTATAATCAAACTAGAGGCCTGGTGCACAAAATTCATGCACTGGGGGGTGGTGGTGAGGGGGGTGTCCCTCAGCTCGGCCTGCGCCCTCTAGCAGTCCAGGAGCCCTCGGGGGATGTCTGACTGCTGTGGAGGTGGGAGAGGCTCCGGCCACCACCATTACGCTCCCCAGCCAGGAGCCTGGCTTCTGGTTGAGCAGAGCTCCCCTTGTGGGAGCACACTGACTACCAGGGGGCAGCTCCTGCATTGAGCATCTGTCCCCCTGGTGGTCAGTACTCATCATTGCAACTGGTCATTCCCCTGTTCGGTCGATTTGCATATTAGCCTTTTATTATATAGGATAGAATGTCAGCATCTCAGGGATGCAGGCCACCACTCAATAGTATCCCTTGCCTTGCTTTTTTCCTCCCTAGCACTTTCCATAGCCTAACGGTTACCCATGTGTTTTACTTCTATTATTTGTTGTCTGTACCCCCAAGGAATGTAAGTTACCTAAGGGCAGAGTTTTTTTGTTTGTTTCCTGTGGTATTGAATGAATGAGTGAATGAATGAATGGATGGAGGGAGGGATGGATGGATGAATGAAGAGAAGTCTCGACTTCCTTTACTGGAAAAACCTTCATGACATTATCCTGCCCAATCTCCTGCCTTGGCCAAAGAAATGTTTTATTTTCCCTAATTGCAAATGTCTTCCCAAGACACAGCTTCTCTACTCCCCATTGTGAAGCAGTTCAAGAATTGAAGATGGTCTCTTAGTCTAACCCAACCATACTGCCTTCTGTAGCAATTCAAAGCCCTTTCTTCACGGTCAGTCCTTTGTGGTGATGAGGAAAATCAACTAGGCCCAGGTTCGATGAGGCCACCCTCACGAGCATTACAGAGCCTGTCTCTAGGCAGAAGGGCCAGGTAGTGGAAGGACTCTGGGCCGTGATTCCCAACCAGAAACAGGTTGGGTCGGAGTGGGGACTATCCGGTCAGGATGAGAGGCCATTTGGCCAGTGAGTCCTCAAGGTTTGCAAGTGATACTTGGGGACTCCAAAGGGGGCTGGCCTTGTTGCAGGCTTGGGAGTGGTCCCTGGGGGTAACCAGGAGGGGAGAGGACGCTGAGCCGGTTACCCATGTGTCTGCTGAGCAGGTAGTAGATGGCTGCGAGGAGGCAGGCCTGTAGGACCAGGGACACGAATGCGATCACTAAGCCATGCCAGAGCTGCATGCCTCTGTTGGGAAAGGAGAGGGGTCAGAGTGAGAAGTTACAGAGATGCCAATACAGCTGCACACCCACCCCTGCCTGGAGCCAGAGGCCGCCCTCTGGTGTTGCTGTGTGCCTGCTCTCTGGACAGTAAGGCCTGGGAAGCCGGGGACAGGAGGGTGCACCCTGGGAAGCCAGCTATAGCTGTTAGCCTGATGGGACCTCACTCACTCTGTCAGCATGGCCAGCTTCCTGCAGAGCGGCCTGGGGTTGTGAGTGGGGCTCAGGCGCTTCCTGGTGCAGCAGGAAGAGACTTGAGAGGAGCCACCCTGGGTACCTCGTTTCCAAGCAGTGGCTCCAGCAGACCCGTCAGGAGACCTGCAGGAGGCAAGGCAGCTCTGGTCAGGACTCCTGGCCTCACGCGAACCCAGTTCTCAGGGGAGCCAGCTGCTTGGGGCCATTGGCGCTCCTCTCCCAGAGCCCCAAGTGACTGTGCACGGAATGAAAACCGCGGAACTAAGACGCTGCAAAGAAAACGCAGGGATGATCCAGATAAAGTGAGACGGGGTTTTCAGGAAAAACTATGATCGTGAAGGATTTGGTGCCTTGATTGAAAAAAGGCGCAGATATGTTTTAGTGCAGATACTTCTCAACCAAATCTCAGGACCGCACTGACTTCTGGGGCAGCTGCAAAAGGAAGACTGGACTTGACCAGGAGAGCTTGGTTTCGGCAAACAGCTGGAGCTAGGCCCGTATGTCTGCAAAATCAACAGCGTTCCACTTTTAAGGCACTCTTTGGTATTTTAAAAATATATCTTTTTATTGATTTCAGAGAGAGAGGAAGGGAGAGGGAGAGAGGGATAGAAACATCAATGATGAGAGAGAATCATCGATTGGCTGCCAAGCCTGCAACCTGGGCATGTGCCCCTGACCTGAATCGAACCTGGGACCCTTCAGTCCACAGGCCGACACTCTATCCACCAAGCCAAACCGGCCAGGGCAGAACTTTCTACAATGCCAGGCATGAGGAATACACTCAATAATTATCAGGTATTATTCAACCTCAAACACTCACCACCATGGCAGCTAGAGCAGAGCTATTAAAATTGGGTTGGTCTATTTTAGGAACCTTAGGTATTCGTTTTGCGTAGTTTGGAGATAAGATCCAGGACAGGATGAGGTATGAAAATCATGACAGATGTCATTATTTCAGTGGCTAATGGCCCCTAACCACAGCGAGCAGCTTGTTCCCTGGGGTATAATTGCAGACTGCTGATCAGGCAGTCGGCAGAAACATCTGCTCATCTGCACACACACATAGCCAGCACCTGGGAAAGGAGCAATTTCAGGTAATTCTGTTGTGAAAACTGTCCGGACCATGTTGGAGTTGGTACACCCTGTTCCATCATCAGTATGGGAGCTGTCCCGCCCCCTTTCACGTTGCTGAGTTTGATGCCCAGACCCACCCTAACGCAGTAACCCCACAGGCACCCCAAGTCCGCCCTTCAGCAGAGAGCTTTTCCTCTGTTCCCTTCAGACCTGGTAGAAACCCTGAGACCCCTGCTTAAGCTGGGTCCATGTTCTGCTGATAAAGGCGCTCGCAGGGCCTTTCTAGTAATGCAGCAAACCTGTCAGGGGCGAGCGATGAAGACGCGCCTCTTCCTGCCTGACGCCTGCTTTCCTTGGATAGTCGTTCTAGAAAGTGGTTTAAAGCAGGAGCACAATAAGAAGATGATTTATAGCGATCTTTTAAAATTAAGTAGCTTTAACATTTTTAAAGCTTTTATTAAGATTACTTTGCAATCTCCATTAATTTATTGTTTTAAAAATTAATAATTGGCCCCAAACAAGAGAAACAAACAAACAAACAAAAGAAATGGAGAAAAAATAATAATTTGCCCTGGCCGGGTGGCTCAGTTAGTTGGAGCATCGTCCTGTGCACCAAAAGGTCTTGGGTTTGATTCCTGGTCAGGGCACATACCTAGGTTTCGGGTTCAATCCTTGGTCTATAAATTAGCAAAACTGATGCCATAGGCACAGAAAACTTAACCAGATCAAAACCAAAATGAAAAGACAAGAAAGAAGCCCTAACTGGTTTGGCTCAGTGGCTAGAGCATCGGCCTGCGGACTGAAGGGTCCCAGGTTCGATTCCGGTCAAGGGCATGTACCTTGGTTGTGGGCACATCCCCAGTAGGGGGCGTGCAGGAGGCAGCTGATCGAGGTTTCTCTCTCATTGATGTTTCTAACTCTCTATCCCTCTCCCTTCCTCTCTGTAAAAAATTAATAAAATATATTTTAAAAAAAGAAGAAGAACCTGCCCTGGCCAGTGTGCTAAATGGTTAGAGCATCAGCCTGCACAAGCATGGGCCTGCACACCGAAGGGTCGCAGTTTAAAAAAAAAAAAGACAAGAAAGAAGTTTGGGAAGTAGCATGGTATCCTGGTCATGTATGGGAGGCAACCGATCGATGTTTCTCTCTCACATTGATGTTTCTCTCTCTCTCTCCCTTCCCCTTTATCCTCTTTCTCTAAAAAAATATCAATAAACATATCCTTGGGTGAGGATAAAAGATTAATAATTCAAGCTATAACATGTCGTGTGGCATAGTGGAAAGAGAACGAGACAGGAAGATGAGAGCCTGGCTTCTCCTGGCTGTCACCTGCTAACGGCGTGACCCGGGACAGGCAGAAGTCCTTTCCAGGCCCTGCTGAGTTAAGGGCTCCAGAAAGTGCCCCTAAGGCTCTTTCTGTCCCTAAGCGTTCTGTTCTTTCAAGGCCAGGGTAGAGGATGGGAAAAGGGAAACAAAGGTAGATGGAAAGAGAATATTTTCAAAGAAAAAACCTTTGTTCCATTTTATAATTTTACAGAGCCTCCTTCACATAGACATTTTCTCCTAATTTAATATACAGTTTTGAATAATCAAGAAAGAGAGAAAACATAAATAAACTGAACTAATAATGAATGAATATAACCACAGAGACAGAGATAAAAATTGTGAGACTACGAAGGGATCAAAAAAATCTCAGTAAAATTAATGCTTTGCTAAAAAACTATAAACTAGCAAAACTGATGCCACAGGCACAGAAAACTTAAAGAGATCAAAGCCGAAACAAAAAGACAAGAAAGAGGTTTGGGAAGCAGCATGCTATCTTGCCGCTAAAGGCAGACAACTTGGAGTCAGACAGCCTGGGCTCACGTCCCAGCTCATTCTCTGCAAGAGCTTGGTCTAGGCCAGTGATGGCAAACCTTTTGAGCTCAGCGTGTCAGCATTTTCAAAACCCTAATTTAACACTGGTGCCGTGTCACATATAGAAATTTTTTGATATTTGCAACCATAGTAAAACAAGGATTTATATTTTTGATATTTATTTTATATATTTAAATGCCATTTAACAAAGAAAAATCAACCCAAAAAATGAGTTCGCGTGTCACCTCTGACACGCCTGTCATAGGTTCGCCATCACTGGTCTAGCTGTTTACCCTCTCAAAGCCTCAACTTTCTGATCTGTAAGATGGGAACAATAATAACTGATTCTCAGATGAATATAAATGACACCTGCTTCTGAGGATGAAATGTGAGATGTGTGAAGCAGTCATTATAGCTTTTGTCACATAGTAATAAGCATCCAATAAATGACAGCTATTATTTAGAAATTAAAAGCATTACTAGAATTATCTACTAAAACTTGGTGTCCATATACTAGTTTTACAAATGAGTTATTTTAAACTTTTAAGGAACATGTGATTCCTATGCTACATAAGCAAATCCAGGGCGAAAAGATGGAAAACTGTCCAATATCATCTCACTTATGAATGCGGAGGTAAATAAATCATAACTAGAGGCCTGGTGCACGAATTCGAGCACGGGTGGGGTCCCTAGGCCTGGCTGGCGATCGGGGCTGATTGGGGCTGTCTCACCCCGTCCTGATCAGGGCCGGCAAGGGAGAGAGGCTGCAGGAGGTTGGCCAGCCAGGGGGAGGGACTGCAAAAGGTTGGCCGGCCATGGGAGGTTGGCTGTGGAAGCACACTGACCACCCAGACACCCAGGGGCTGTGAGAGTGCACTGACCACCAGAGGGCAGCTCCAGCATTGAGCGTCTGCCCTGGTGGTCAGTGTGCATCATAGTGACCGGTTGACTGGTCATTCGGTCAACTGGTCGTAATGGTCACTTAGGCTTTTATATACATAGATATCAAGAAGTTACTCCAGGGATGTCCAGGATTCAGTTATTACAATGATGAAAATGAATGGTGAGTATTTCCTGTGTGCTTTTATCCTTTTGCTCTACAAAAAACAGACATTATCGCCATTTCCTAGACAAGAACAGTAGGCTGGATGAGGTTGAGCAACTTGTCTGGTCTCCCCTCTGGAAGAGTCAAGTTTTAAACTCAAGTCCATCTGACTTCACAGCCTAATTCTCAATCATTACAAAAAACTGCCTTTTATGTAATATAAATACAGCATCAGTAAACTAAAATTTAAATTAGTGATCTCAGTAAATGCCAAAAGACATTTTATAAAATTGAATGCTCGTTTCTTATTTTTAAGTTATACAATAAAAATATGAGGATTGTTTCTTAGTCTAACAAAGAATATCTCTTCTATGCCAATAATCAACTCCTTACCAAATGGTACAATATTTTAGCAGTTATTTGAGAACAAGGATGTCTGCAATAACCATTTTTTAAAAAGTTAGTTCTGGAAATTCTAATTCCTGGAAGTTTGAAGTTCCTCCAACCTTCAATCTATGATAATAAGGTTATTGAATATTTATTGAGCATGTCCTATGTGGCAGACACTTACATATATTAACTCATCCAATTCACACAACTACCCTAAAGGTAGATATATTATTATTTCTATTTTACAGAGGACAAAAGTAAGACACAGAGAAGTTAAGTACTTGCTCAAGATAATGAGAAGAATTAATGGGGCTTTGTGCCCTGGTGGGCTGGCAATGGAGCCTGAGCTAATAACGGTGCATGAAGGAAATGAAAGTGTAGTTCTGGGCAAGGAGAAGTCAAATTCATCCTTATTTGCAAAATATGTGATTTTATACCTAGAAATCCCCAAAGAATCTATTGAAAAAACTAGTGAAATTAACAAGACTGCTCAGGGAAGTCCTGAGGGCATGATACATATTCTAAAATTCCCAGCTATTCCTTCTATTATGCCAGTAACAGCCAGTTAGAAAATAGAATTGGGGGGGATGGGCATCCATGAGCTTTAGCAACCATCACAATAGATATATCTAAGAATAATTTTATTTATAAGAAAGTACTTTTGAAGAAAATAAAAGGAATTTACTGAGAAATCTAAAAGACAAACTAATAGAAAGACATGTTCCAGATTGGAAAACTAGAAGGAACTAAG